TTTATATCAATGAAAGGCAAATTCGCCGAGTCCAAATGAATCACCGAAAATCCGATGAGGCCAAAATAGTACGAAATCTTTTAATAAAGATCGAATACCACTGATTCTTAAGGCGCTTTGCTTTTCTTCGAACAGGAAAAATGTTGTATTCAAAGTTCTTTTCATCTCTTGTAAAATATTTAAAATGTGACCAGCAACCTTTCACTCTAATCTAGCGATATGTATATCAAAGTTTCAAACTTCGTACAGAATTTCCAAACATGTTTCAAATTTCAAAAGCTCGTCATCGAAATTGCAAAAGTTTGAATCAAAGCTTTTCGAGTATGCAGTTTTGTAGGTCATTGAATTTTAGTTATATTTCAAGTTTTAGTGTTGCTTTTTGAGATTTTTTACGCGGAGGGTGTAGCTAATTTTATTCCATTCAGGAAGGGCGGTAGCTGACAATTTTTTTTTTAAGGTGTTGCTCATTTTCTATATACAAAAAATCTACAAACGTACTTCATATTGAAGAAAATTATAAAAAAAAAATAAAAAATAAAAAAAAAAATTAAAAAATCCCGGCTACTTCAAGCTTGCATTTTATCTTACTTAAACTCAATGGGCTACAAAACTGCTTACTCAAAATTAAAAGCTGAAAACGTTTAGAGGCCTCGCGTGGTCGTTTTGGGCCTCCACCTTAAGTTCTTGAAATTACTTGCCCTTCGATCCGTGCGCAAGTGTAATCCCTCTGGAAATTTAAATCCCTTTGCTTTTTCTGAATTTTTTTTTCAATATACATAAGTAAGTGTTGAAGATAAGATTGCAATGAACAAACCGAATCGTTCTAAGATTATTTATACTGGATTTATCGTCCAATTCCCAACACCTAATTGGTATCTTTGTAATCAGTGTACGAAAATAAACTAAATTGTACGTTACTATTTCATTTCGTTTATTACTTCAACGTTCGGTACAATACGAAAACAAAACGGCTGAGTTCACTTTGCGATAGTACACTACTGTAGTTTAGTAGTTGCAGATGAAACAACAAACGAAGTGAATCGTGCAGAGAAAAATATATGTATGTATGTAGTACATGTTTTTTTAATTGAATTGGATATGAAAATTTACAGAAAAAAATATTTTTCACGTAATTGAAACGTTTGCATACATATAAAACGTACCCTATGGTACAATTGTCACAAACGAAAAGCAAACGTTTCTCGTTGGGGAAAATGACAGTGAATCTTACAGTTTGTTTCTGACTATGTACAAAACTGTGCAAAACCACAAATGATATGATGATCGATGAGCAAATGGGAATTGTTTTGTACAGTTTATTTTCGTACCCTGTTGGTAATACTTGCATTGCAAAAAGGACCACTTTGTATTTCTGATATTTTTAAGATTTTCCTGGAAATCAAAAATAGATCTATAAGATCATAGAGAAATGGTTTCACGTCTTACAAAATCATAGATCTAAATTTTTTAATATCTGATCTAATATCTGAGCAACAACAATTTTGATATCGACATTTCCGTGCAAACTTATTTTGACATTTGCCTGAAATGAGTACTGGCCACAAGCCAAGTGCCCTAAGATCTTATTGGGTAACATCCGACCTTTTACATGAAATTCTTGTGAAATAATACCGGGCGGAACGGAATACCGTTCACAACAAAACTTCAAAAAAGGCAATGCCAATTTTTATAAATTGCACTTGTTACTTAAAAAAAGTTGTCATCAAAAATAAATAAAAATTATTAAAAAAAAGACGGGATTTTTAGGCGGTCGAAAGTAACACTGCATAACAAACTCGGTTTTAGAAATGCGGATTTTGATGAAAATTTGTTGAATTTAGCTAAATTTTGTGTAGGGTTTGAAACTTTCATTTATATGGCTTTAGTTAAAGCTTAGAGAATACGAGTTCCTATCGCTTAAATTTACTAGCTTGTTATTTTAATTATAAGTTTAGCTTATTTCAATAAATAAATTTAGATAGAAAATAACAAACAAATTTTACTTGAAAAACATTGTAAATATTAAAAAAAAATTAACACGTGTTTGAGTCACGGTATTTCCAATATACCCTTATGTATAGCCCCACCCTCCTATCAGCCATTTTTTCGAATTTTCCGTGCCAATAAAGATAAATGTGTACTAGGATTATTTGACAGCGCTAAAATTTTGCTCGACAGAAGGAAGGACAGGCAGACATGACTTAGTAGATTTTTCTTTTCATTCTGAGCATATTTGTTTGTACATATATCCATCTGCATATATATACCGGGTTCCTTGGCCACCCGTCTACCTTCAGTATCTAAAATGGAACGAAATTTTTTTTATTGGAAAACGCAACAAAATGAATTACCAAGTCGTGAATGGAATAATCGTAATACCGGCATCCGGATTGGACCGAAAATAGGTTAAACATCCCGAAAGTCGATTGTTTTAACAGGAAGTCCAAATGAGTTATAATATCTCCGCGAAAACATTCGTTCGAGTGTAAAAGTAAACTGGAAAAATAACATGCAGACCTAAATAGTAGCAAAATGTTTGCATGCATATGTATAGATTTTTACACAGATATTAGTTTCATATCGTCATGATATTATTTTTTATTATCTATCAGGGACCGAGAACAAAAGATATTATCTTAAGTAAATGCCGTTGTCGTAGTTTTATTTCCAAGAGCGCTTAAAAACTCAAACCTAAATGAGAACAAAACTATCGATAACGTTCTCAAGCGGACCTATATAAGAACAAAGCCTAGTGGTACGTTCCCAAGTAGAACAAAATGCGAACAATACTTTGGGGATCGTTTCTAAGAGAACAACTAGGAATAAAAGTCTCCTCAACTTTCCCCCGAAGAACCATTTGGGATCTAAAGTCTCAGAAAATTTTCTGTCAAAGAACGAAACAGAAAGATCGAAAATTGAGAGTGAATGTAATAAGAAAACATTCGCAATCACCTTGATTTTTAATTTCAGGGACCGAACATAACAGCTATTGATGAAACTCTCATGGAAAAATTCACTATGAAAGAAAAGTTCTGCAACTAACTATTGATACATTTCAATAGATTTCTTTTTTCATCGAGACTCAAATTTGGAAATAAATTTTTATTTGCAATTTTTATGCAAAATTAAAAAAAAAATAACAACTATCTTTAATTTTTATATTAAAAATCCAAAATAACAATTATATTTGATTTTGGATATTATATGTCTTACAGAACAGTTATTCAAGGTTTTAATTTATGAAAGTCATTAACAAAAATCAGTCACCGACTTTTATTTTATAAAACATTCGTATAAAAGTCGTTAACGTTTTTCGCAGTTAAAAAGGTGTTGGGAAACAAAAGTTTACTATGACTTATTCAAATGAATTTTATAAGAATGATTTAAAAGACAATGGTCAGTGACAGTTTTTTTTTATGACTATTATAAATAAAAGTCTTCGATAACTGTTATTCATTATATAAAATTTAAATAAAAATTAAAAAAATAATTGTTAAAGAGCGACTTTTTTAATAAAAGTTGTAACTGTTACGGTCCCTGGTTAATTTTGGTTAAGTCAATACACTTTTGATTATTTAGTTCTACACTAAAACCATTTGCCTTGACACTAGAAGAAAAGCTTTATAGTAGAAAATAGTCGTTTTGCTGCTGCTTTTCTACTACTGCTATAATTTTGTAAAGCACTACCTATGACGAGAAGTACGTAATATTTTTGAAGGAAATTTGCGGTCAACCTTTATATAATAAACCAATTTTTTATTTTTCGGAAACAATATTTTCATTTCCCAATACCAGGCGCTCATACATATCGACAGCTAAGTGGAAGATCAACATATCGAGCCCTAACCGCCAAAATAACGTAAGCGACATTTTTTTCAAAATTTTATTTTTGATGCAGAAATATTCCTAGAGCATCTAGATGCATTTCTGCATCAAAAATAATATTTCGAAAGAAATGTCGCTTACGCTATTTTGGCGGTTAGGGCTCGATATCTCGGCAGCTAGTTCGAAAACGCAGCTATCTAAGAAAACCTTTCAAGAACGCTTTACTTCAGAATTTGATTAAAGAATTTCAGAATCTTTTTGAAAAATATCCTTACTCAGAATTTGGTTGAAGAATGATCTACCTCAGAACTCGGTTCAAAAACGTCCAATCTCAAATCAAAATGTATTGAGAATGGGCTGAGATAGGGCGTTTTTGAACTGGCTGCCGAGATAGGTGGATCTTCCACTCAAGTGTCGATATGAAGTAGCAAGCTTTTTTGTAGAAGCTTTTGAACTTCACAAAGTAGAATTTCAGAAATTTATAAATTTATACAAACAACTTTGAAATAGAAAACTTGTTACTTCACATGTACTAAATATGAGCGGCTGACATTGTTTGGATCAAATAAAAACTGGCCATAAACTTAAGGTCAACTTAAGGATTTCAGACACTAACTTTTCTTGCACACAATATTGTTCCATAAATGAATAGTTCACCCTAATGATAAAATATCTCGAAGTTAAAATGATATAGCTTTCGCATTTTGTTCCTTACGGAATCGTTCTCAAAACGTTTGTTCTCACTTTGCTTCCGTTCAAACTGCTCTCAATAATTTTGTTCCCGTTTGATTCTTTTGTTCTCATACAGAACTAAACAAAAACTGGAATGCAGTCGCGGCCCCTGGTATTCATGTAGTGGTATTACTTTAATCTAAAATGTTTCTTGTTATTTACAATATAGTTTCTTTATGTTGCATGAATCACATCATTCTTATAGCCCATTTCCATTGAAAGTTTAACTGCAGTTGAAAGCTCAAGAAAGTTCCACGAATTTGAAGATGAAGTGATTGGCAAGGTTAATTCCTTTTTTTTTTGTTTTATTTTTTTTTACTGGCGTTTGCAAGTACGTAAAATGAGCAATTACCTCCTTCGAGCGGTAATCTCCTTTTCCAACAGGAAAAAACTGCAGTTAAGGCTTGGTGAAAATGGACTCTTAATTTAGCGTAGCTCACAAACCTTTTTTTTTAAATTATGCGTACAATTATAATTGTTGCCTTGTTGCTTTTAAAGTTAGTATGTATTTCAACACCAGGTTTTTCCACTGTGGCTATTATTTCTGCATTATGTTCAATTTACCTTTGAACTGTGATGTGTTCTCTTTAAACACAAGTTAAAATTACACTAAATACTTAGTTCCACACATAGTAAATTTATTGACTTCCTTTATTGTGTTAGTGTGCGTATATGATTATTTTGCTGCAATTTAGGTCAGTTCGGTGCCCAATAGTAATTGACATATTATTGTTAGTATTGCGACGCTGAGGAGTAGACGTAAACTGCTACGAAAATTACTCAAAGGATATAGGCGAGCAGCAGAACCGTGTACTGTAAAGAGAAGAAAAATTAAAAAAAATTTAATGAAATTAAGTTAAGCGGATACATACTGTGTATACATACATATGTACATTCATATTTACTTTATAGCTACCCTGCTTAAAAATTGATTGCAAAACGAAATGATATACCAAAGAAGATTTGGCTGACTTTCATAAGAAACTCAAAAAACGCTTTAGAAATCGGATGCACATCAAGCAGAGACAACGTCAGCATTTCAAGTGTTGTGCAATCAACTTCGTTTTCGCAAACCAGCTGCTACCAGCAACAACAATAAGAAAACCCATTGTCAATCTACGGCTGCAGCAAATGCAACCACGGGACACAGTGGTCAACTGTAAGGGCGAATTGAATGGGCGAACGAATTTGAGAGTTGATCTGAAATGCTATTCACGTACTTGGCCGAGGCTGGTGATGTCGACGAGGAGTTCACAAGACAGCAGCCGCGCTAGCAATGTTTGCAGAGCCGATCAATGGCGGCAACATTGAAATTCAAGTCAACACAACCAAGAGTGATTGGGGGGAAAAAAAGGATATGCACGAAACGGTAATAAAAAATCCATATATTTTTGTATGTATGTGCGCACAAGCGCAGGGATGCAGGGCTTCGTATGTCCGCTCAATGCAATTTTGGTAAAATTGTGGCGCATTAAATTGAATTCTGCGGGCGCGAAGAGTTAATGCATTTTTGTAGCAGCTCAAAATTAAATTGACTGAAGACGAATGGGTGGTGACTTTTTTAAGATTTTAAAATTACTTTGGTCAACGAGGAATTCTCACATATATATGTATGTATGTATGCATGTGTGTATGCTGGACAGTTTCTCATGTTGGCCATTGAGAGCATTTTGACGAGGCCTTGTGAAGAGATCACTTAAAATAATTTGTTTTGCTACAAATATGTAATATGATGTTTTAATAAAATCTGCCTTATCTCTTATCAAGTCAAAGTTTTTTTGTGGTCAACATTCATTGCAGAGGTATAAAACTTGTCAATCCGCTGAAATAGAACTTATATTTCGCATGTACAAGGTTAATCGTACAGCTTTGATTTTTTTTTAGAAAATTGATAGGTGTGTATGTATGTATCAACAATATGAAAGGGTTTCCATGTGTTATACATACATGCAATAAAAAGGCTGGGTTTATTTTGTATGGGCGAAAATAAAAGGCATTTGAACGTACTGTAATGGTAATATTATGTTGTCTTAGGTCTAAGCCAATAAGAATTGGCCCCGAAATATTATTTAAAACATATCTTTAGCCCGCGAAATTGGCTCAAAGCTATGAATTTGCTGATAAATTGGCGAACTGCGGTTTTATAGAGCGACCAATCAGACCGGAGCAAACCAAGTGTTTCCTGAAAAGGCTTGTCAGGGTGGCAGCAAAATTTCTTCTCAGAAAAAGAAGGAGTGATCTACGAGCCCTGATATAACTAACTACGGGGCGCAATCCTTAGGGACGACCTTTGGGCACCATAGGTATTATCGATGATCCACTGTGTACATGTTGTTTGGGGGACGAGGATAGTACAGAACATTTTCTCTGCCACTGTCCGGCCTCCGACATATACTGACGGTAATTTTTGGGTCGGATGTATTGAAAATGAACGGCGTAAATACACTCTATTTCCCTCAAAAAACTGCTAAAATTCACAAGGAGTCTGGTAAGTTTGCAGGGGAGCAATGAATGAAGTTAGCCAAGCAGTCGCCGGACCCTTTCAAACAGGAGAATCGAAGCTGATTAAAGACTGCTTTGACGCACCACAAATTCTGGCAGCCCAAAATCCTCCAACGCTGTGCTGAGTACCAGGCCATTGTGGAATCGAAGAAAATGAGGGCGACGACGAGTTGGCATGAGAAAGATCGCTAACAGCCTTTTCACGGCCATTCTGTGGTCTCAGTTGGTCCTCTTCGAGAGCCTTAAGTACTGAGTGTGTACACTCTGAACGCGGTTAATACTGGGGAGCGGTGGGGCCTTAGACAGGCCAGGATTTTCGGCAACCCTTTAAACTGGCATTTTTTTAGTAAATAGAAATGACATCAGGCTATTTTCTGGATACCAGAGCGGTCACAACCAGTCGGGATGCCGGCTCTGCCTCGAGGATAAGGAAACTTTGAATCATATTCTCTGTCACTGTCCGGATTTGGCCACATAAAGACTGATTTATTTTAAATCTCCATTTAACCATTTAATTATAACCATTATTATATTNCTAACTAACTAACTTTCTGAGGTATGAGTACCGAGAGTACTCTAAATGTCCCCACCAATAATTTGCATTTCTGAAAAATTACCATGAACTAAGTGACCACCTTTGACCGCCACAAAAACATTTGTTCTACATTGGCAAGGCCACTTAACTGCCAACACTTACTTTAAACGTTCTACTTAACGCCCTTTTCTTTCCAGTCTTTTAAGGAATTGCAATTTATTTTAACTGCATATGTGTTAGTGTTGGCTATTTATATGTACAGGAAATTTCAAAGTTTTACTTTCATAACCATTTTTCACTTTGCACTCACCTAGTAGCATAGCTTCGCGATTGTCGATGGTGCCACGGCGACGCTGCAGCACACTCTCCTTGTCACCACTCCAAAGCGCTGGTGATATGCTGGCCAAGCATTTAACACGCATCGTACCATCCTGAAAGTGACGTCCATCAACTGTCAACTCAAGGCCGAGCATTGACGTTATGAGGCCATGTTTGTGTACGGTGTCATTGTAGGCTATCAGATAGCTTTCGTCGAGCACCTGAAATACACAGAAAATACAACAACAAATATTGGGCAAGTGCATCTACATACGAGTAGGTTCTTATATGCATGTATATGTATGAGAATATATTATTGTGTCCATGCATGTACTCGTAAGTGTATTTTAGGTAACATTGAAGCTTGTTTAGTAGGCCAACATTTAAGGCACATTGACAGTTGTTGATAGAATGTTTGACAATCCGATGTATAGCTTAGTGAAAGCACCGAATATTATCTACTGGTGACCCAGTAATTATTTTTATGTTTAATTAATCACTGCTCACTAGCTAATAGCCATGAAAAATAGTACTGTAAAACTATTTTAAACGACAAAAAAATGTGTCACAGTTCTTCGGGTTAAAATGAAAGCACATACATACATATATGACAGCTGCGGTAAATGATTGATGAGCTCATTTTCGTTTATTTCATATTTCAGAATTTTTATCCACAAATAGTAACTATTTCTTATATATACCAAGTCTTTTTTTAATCATGATTCTTTAATAATTTAAAATTCGGCATGGTTTAATTATACAGCTATGGGATTCATACTCGTAAAGTGCCATAACAGTCGTATTGTTATCTAGTCATAGATTTTAAAACGTTTAACCACCACCTAGCATACTGTTGTGAGACCCCAGGGTAAAATAACTTACACTGAGAAAATTATACAGGTAAAATGCGTATATTCAAAATAATAAAAAATAATAAAAAAATATATTTATGAATAAATTTTACTTCAAACAAACATGACATGACTTTTCAACCAGAAAATTAAATTTAAACACTTTTAACCCTCAAATTTGAAAAACTACAATTGGAAAAAAGTGGGGAAAATTTTTTTTT